ATGTATTTTGTCGTGTTTCAAGTTATGTTAATCTCATTACAGAGATGCTGTTTTAGAGCCACTGTATTGAAATGAAAATATGCTAACTCATAGTTTGAAATTTTAAAAGTTCTGCCTGCGGGTTTTTGTTCTTCGAGACGCCATTAAGCTTTGGAGAATGACAGTAGGTTCATTGAAAGTTACAAATTATTCATAAAGATCTTTTCAACGCATCCGGTTTATGAATACAGTCAGCAATCTGCGTTGACTCGGATTCAAGACGAGATACGATTGAACGAAAAATTGCGCAGCTTTTCATTATTTGTCCAATGCTTACAACAACAAAAAAAAAGTACACGATAATCTCTGTTGTCGCAACATTGATTACGGTATAAACAAGCGATCGAATCGAATTATCTATACGCGTCGGTTTGTTTTTATACCTTGAAAACCATTGCGAAAAGTACCGGATGAAATATCATCGGCGACCATCAGCGCGATGATAAATGTTCGGGACACGACTGCGGGTCGAGGGCCATGCGCCGCCTCGCTATATAGCCAGCATAAAAAAAAGCTTAACTAAACGCAATTTTTCACTCGCGAATTCAGGCGCCATAAAGGGCCAACAATACGTATATAAATACGGACAGGCAAAGCGGATAACCTCTATTCGGAGATTGCATGCGGCAGTAAGGAACACTATATAAACTGGAAATGGGATTAAAATGAAGATCCAGGAACGCGAAAAAAAAACATTTTTCTTTTAAATTAGTGCCATTCGTTGGGTCGGTTGTATATGTATATCTAAACACACTCATCATACGCACTCGTACAGTTTGTTACCGGTTTAACAAATATTTAGTCTATTGAAAATGGCATACAGAGCGATGAATAGCGAGAAAAGTCAAAGAGAATAAGAGTCTTAGCAATATATACTCTTGTGCTTTCATTAATTTTTTATCACATTGCCTTTCTCCGTGCACTCTAATGTGTATGTCAACGTGGTACAATCACGCGCTGCACGTGAATGAGAGCGGGGAGGCAGGGTGGGGGAGTAGAACAAATATTTGAATTATTTTAAGAATTACGCACGGTGCGGAAATTTAAAGGCGCGCGGATGCCTTTGCGTGGCGGCCGCGGCCGTTGTGCTCACGACGCGAACGTAAATTTGCAGTATATATACGCGAGGTCTAATGCCAACCGAGTTGAATTGTTAGAAAACTATGCTCTTTCAATGATATCGATCTCGCTTATATCGCCATATAAAATACGTGTAAACGAGCACTGTGTATACATACATACGTACACGGTACGTACACGAGATGAAAATACCATGTCATCGGCAGAGATTTTCCTTCGGCTTGTTTTCGCGGCGCTTGGAACGCTTATTACACGTTATATATGAATCCATGGCTGTATTGTGCTGCGCGCACAGGTCGCGCACATATCGTCGCCCCAGCGCAGGAAGGTATCTATTTCCAAGCTGTAGCAAGAAGGATACTTACTCGCGCGCAGAGGCAAAAAGGTATCTAACTCGAGCGCAGCGGCAAAAAGGTATCTAATTCAAGCGTAGAAGCAAAAAAGTAGCTAATTCAAACGAAGTGGCAAGAAAGTTTTGACGCGCTGAATTTAGGTTGGCAACGGAGCCGTAAATGATAAAATTTTGTTTCAACATTCAACATTCAACATTTAATTCAAAGTTATGTAAAGCCGATAACTTCTACTTTCCTCTCAGAACATAGAAAGTTCTCCATAAGTGGCAAATTGAGTCGAAATCATGGTGAGATTGATTTGTTTGCTCGCATTACCAATGGATGAAAATCATTACACTAGCTCAATCGTTTTTTTCTCTTTTTTGCTCTAATACAAAACAAAATTTTATCATTTACAGCTGCGTTGCCAACCTAAATTCAGCGCGTCAAAACTTTCTTGCCACTTCGTTTGAATAAGCTACTTTTTTGCTTCTCGCTCGAATTAGATACCTTTTTGCCGCTGCGCTCGAGTTAGATACCTTTTTGCCTCTGCGCGCGAGTAAGTATCCTTCTTGCTACAGCTTGGAAATAGATACCTTCCTGCGCTGGGGCGACGATATATTCATTACTCGAAGGACACGCGCAATGACATTATTGACATTTTCAGTGCTTTTCTCGCGCACATGTATATAGCATGTATTTTGTTACTGCGCTCTCGGGCGCGCGTGACTGAATACGCGCGTTAATTTCTAAACGTCCAGTACATAGTGCACGGGGCACTGTGCCATCCCCGTGCGCGAACTGAAATTTGTCATCAATATTTATCGTATGTATTATAAAGCATCGTGGCCGCATAATGTGTGAGAAAACTAATGCATGAAAAATGACGAATAATTCAAGCACAAGCTTCGATGTTGTACGCATCGCATAGTATTATGTTACGCAGAAACTAAACGCCTAACAATAATACAGGATAATTCGTGTCATCGGCAGTGTGCGCGCGAAATATAGAGAACTGGGGCACTGATCCGAGAGAGAGAGAGAGAGACGCGTCGCACCGCGCGACGCACTGCACACAATGCGCGCAAGCCAAAGCACGATAATCAGCGTCATAATGCGCGACTCTTAATCTCTCTCCTCCCACCCACACCCCCCGAAAAGCCATTGTGTGTGCAGTCGCGCATGTGTATGTGTGAGTAAACGTGCGCCCCTTTCTGCATACATATATACATGAAACTTCATCGCGCATGGAATATACGCGCGCATATGTATGCAGCCGCGTGCGCGCGTATAGGCCAATCAATTGCGCTAACAAATGTTTCCCCCCGATATATATACTGCAGCAGCATACGCTCGCGCTTATATACGAACTGTGCCTGAAGCACTTCGTCATCGTGAATGGAAAATTGATTTCATTATTTTCTCTCTCTCTCTCTCTACTCAGGCTCGGCATATATATAATACACGCGCGCGACGGTGTCTATGTATAACGCGTATTACATATCTATATATCCAGACGTGCCTCGAGAGTTTTCGTATACTCGGGCTTGAGGAATCCGTGCGAGTGATATGTAAATGTGCGAGAATGAATGATTGATCGAGTGTGTTTGCCCACGCGCTCGCTCGCGCCTGCGTACCTGTAGCACCGACGAGCTTTCGGAATTGCAGCCGGAAAATTTGCGTCTTATTAAATAATCGATTTTGTCTGTGTGAGATTTAATAGAGAGCTTTTTTGGGGTCGAAATAATTATATTTCTAAATAATCGAGGATAAAAGGATTAAAAGATTCTAAATGCGATTATTCAATTGTATACGATCAAATTATTGTCTCATGGTCAATTTATATAAATCGCAAAATGTGATACCCGAGTATGAAAATGCGATAACTTTAACTCTTCGACCATCGAGGCATTCATTTTCCGGGCCAAAATAGAGCGTATTTGCTGCGGAGCTTTTTTCAAAGAGGATTCTAAAAACAACGCGCCAGTAGTGCGCAGCACAGCGCGTTATAACACATCGCAGATAGTAACTGACCGCAGTTGGAAAATTGGTCGAATGTGTGTGCATGTGTGTGTATGTGTGTGTGTGTGTGTGGGTGTGCCTGACAAAAAGCAGCAGCAGAACCAGCACTATACGCGCGGCTAGATAAAAAGCTAAAAGGATTAGACAGTGAGAAACTGCGTCGGTGCGCGTAGCACGCGAAAAAAATCCAAAGAAAAAGATGCGATCGTTGCCGAAATAGATCGAATGATCGCCATCCAGCTCTCTCACGATATATCTATATAGGTATACGTGTTGTACGGGGATAGACTTGTGCACACTGTGCGTGATTAATTGCTTCGGAGGCTGCAATGAGGTTACGTTCGTATATATATAATAATATATATTTCCTGTGCGATAGTTTAGCCTGTACGGCATTTGCCTACGTTATTAGCCGTTGAATTTCATTCCAGCCTCAGCAGCAGCAGCAGCAGCAGCAGCAGTAGCTACACAGATCTTGGTAATTTATAGGATGCAGTTCTGCTTGGTATCGATGTATTGTATAACTATATAAGTGCATCATCACTCTGGTGGCCTATAATATGTATTGGCCGCGCCGACACATACTGCCACACCGCATGCACCCGCGCGCGTGCCTACCTACAGCTAGCTCAATGCAATATCTGTGTATGTATATAGGTACGCATCCTATACAACGGAGAGACTGATTGTCCGCAGCAGTCCAAAGTCCAGCCGCCGCACACACTGCACTGCGAAAATGCGAGCTTGCAAACTAGCAGCTACCTCGTCGACCTGATCAATATGCGAAAATTAAACCTGCTGCTACTGCAGGCTATGATACAATATGTCGTCGTGGTCTTGTGCACCGAGTGTATACTCATCTATGACGATGCAAATTTATTTAATTACGTACTGTGCATGCGAGTGTTGAACTTCTGATTGAGTTTTTATGAATGCCCAAGTTGGTTGGGCTGTATAATGAACTTTTACCATGTGCTTCGAATCAAAGCACGGATAGTACACGAGCTTGCAGTCGTTATAAGAAGATTTCGATTCTGTTGAACTTTTCACAATGCGATATCTAATTTTTCCGCTAACTATAATTATTTTTCAGTGAAAAAAATGTTGGCAAAAACCATGACCCTGTGCAAGTATAAGAAGGATAATACAAGCTATAACTAAATCTGGAGCATTGTGAAAAGTTGAGCTTTAACTTGGTCAAGATATCGTGCGCGGCTTCTAAAACTCGTCGGAAAGAATTTTCCACTTGTTAATTTCATTTTTTAGAGTAAAAAGTAGATCGGAAAGTTTGACGAAAAAACTAATAAACTTGATGATTTATCGAGCGTATATTATACACATTTACGAAACGAAAAATTCAAAAAAAGTACTGTCGAAACAGTTGATATTTTTTCGACTCGACCCTTGCGTGACAGAAAGCTAAGCTTAATCCAAAAGCCCTGCGTACGAGATTCGAAATTTTAATTGTCAGATACAGACCCTTAAAAATCACGCGCTAACGAGGGAAATTTTTCGTTGTAATTTCAGAAAAAAATGATTCAAACGACCAATCACAGGCCGGTCCATCGAGTAGGCAAACACCAACATCCCCGCGCTCCACGTCTTCCCCACCTAACGTACCTTCAACCAGCCAGCAAAGTGACTCAGACAGCGAAAGAACAACGGAACATACAGGTAAGTGTAAAACAGAGTAATTGTTCGAGTCAAAGCTCTTACACAGCAACGCATGAATTTTATATAGTACAAAAAGCTAGCACATATTTTTATCGCAAGCCCACGAGCAAATTGAAAGAATATGCGATATTAAACTTTTTCGTTATATTTTCAGATGAATATTCAAACGACCAATCACAGGACGGTCCATCGGGTACACAAACACCAACGTCAACGAGTAACCAATCTTCGATTATCCAATCAAGCGACTCAGTCTGTCAACAGACTACGAAAGATTCAGGTAAGTGTAATGACAGAGTCATTGTGTGAATTAAAGATGCTTGCAATTAGGGCTAGCGTATGTTTGCAGTCGCTGCAAAAATCCAAAGAGTGTGTAATTTTCTATTGTATTTTCAGTTGATCCAGATTCAAAGAACCAATTACAGACCGCTGGATCAGCTATGAAAATATTCGAAGCCTTCATGGAGACTTCGTGCCCGAACCAGTCTTCAATCGGACAGCCAACTGATCCAGTCCTTCAAGAGACGACAAAAAATGAAGGTAAGTGTATTACAGTCATTTTACAAGTCAAAACTCTTTAACTGGCTGGCCACAAGCATGCGAATCTCAATACATGCGGAAACTAGCGCGTATTTTCAGCAGGCGCAAAGCGAAAGAGCTCGAGAGATAGTGTGTGAGTTGAATACACTCGAGGCACGTTTCGTAGAATCCATTTTACAATGGAGTTCTCTCTGTGCCTGTGTGGCCTGTCCCTCTCTCTCTATCTCACTCACTCAGTCACTCACTCACTATAAGCTGTCTCTCAAGCTCCATGTGTCTGGGTCTGTATAATGCGCAACGCTGAACGGTATGTGGTAACGGCGCGCGACGTTATGCGACTCACGCACGCTCCAACACCTCCGCGCCAAGTGACACCGTCCTCGAAAGTGCAGAGCTTAGATGCGCATACTTTATCCTCGTGCCTCGCGAACAGCGCAGTGCTGCACGACAAACTGCACTTTTTTCTTTTAGCCTTTTCTTTTTTCAGCTCGAAAATTTCAAGTATTAAATCGAAAATAAACATTTTTAGGCTCAATTATAATACACATATACCCTATATATAGATACAGATTCCACAATGTACTTGGAGAGCGAACATTAAAATATTTATATAAAATTTATGTAGAGGGTGTGCGCGGGCGCGCATGCAATTTACATCAGCCTTAAATTGTAATGGATTATCAAAAGCTCTTATCGCGGTACTAAAAGCTTGATTATTATTCAATCCGTAAGCCAGCCATGACCGCGTACGCAAACGCACACATGCATATAACACACACTCACAGCGCACACATACGAGCACAACTGATGCAGAGCAAAAACGATTATATCTCCGAGGTTACATCGACTGCAACTTTTTAACTCAACGAAGCTTTGTTCAACTTTTCGTCGGACATCCGACGAGCGGTAGCGCGCATGATAATGTATAGCAGCTAAACGCGCAATTGCACTCGAAAATGAGATTGACTTTTGTGCTATAGCAGTTGCAGCTATCTCAACTTATAAGTTGTATGCGCGCGAGCCGGCGTTACAGGTGGATTTGCGGACTTTGGCAATTAAACAAAGTCAGAGAACATTTCATTACGGGCTGGGAGAATTCGATATGTGCATAGCTTATATATACAGCAGACGCGGAGCAATGTGAATTTGGGTACATAGAGTATGCACCGCCAAGGGAAGCATGGCGACTAAGAGGAATGTAGAGATTGATGGCGAAAGAGGATATAATATCGGAGGCTGCGGTAAGTGAGCGAGGAGACGAGCGTATACGTGCACTTCGCGTGTGTTTACACGAACCTCCCGGAAAATTTGCCAAGTCTGTACGTTGCGTAACGCGTACTATTTCAGTATTTCATTGCGCTCTCATTGATGAGATATTGTTGTGTGTGTGTGTGTGTGTATATCACAAGCGCCTGCGACTCCGATTTTGGCCTAAACGTGTAGCTAAACACAAAAGTGGAGGCACACCGCATCGTGTGTCATGCGTTATCCCTTTCTATGCTCACCTGGGCCAGATTACACGTTTGCATCTATTTGTAACCTACCTAATAAATTACTTTTGTCATGCATCCTTAGTAATATTATTATAGTAATCATTCGGAACAAGCGAAATATATATTCGAGTCGTTTGAACTTTATGGTGTGTATTGATATAGTTGAGCACTAGCCACCTAGCGGTAACATGTCTAAATTTCATGTAAATCAATATATATGCTCGAATTACTCACGTTCGAGATAAGAGAATTATACCCTTCATTCATCATAAAACTTGTCTAAATGATATTGACCTTTGGCATGATAAAAAAGCTTAATATTTTTTCTCATAAATTTCCTGGTATCTTTCGACTTTCTAAGTACAGGGATTTGCAATCCTCAAATAAACAGGGGGCAAGAGAGATATCAGTCGTCCAGTACTGCACGAGAGCAGAAGTTAAGCTGTTTGTCGTGCACACATTCGCACACACTTGCTCGGTAAAGTGTAAACGCGCTACAAGCGAAGAGATAGCTGCGTATACATGCATCCATTTACAAATAACTGCAACGCAGCGCGCACCACCTACGCACCTATGCACGTATACAACGACATTACAGATACATCAAAAGCGCAACTCCGTCGTAGTGCATTGCAGCAACGCACAACACAGCGCCGCCACGACATTATATATGTATCTCTCGTAGTTTGTAATCTCCTTTCTCCCGAAATGCCCTTTAAGTACAAATGTCGAGTCAACGCGCGCTTAACGCACACCTAGATGCGCGTATCTGTGTGTATGTGCGGCTACATACGTGCGAGAATGCACTACGCGCAGTTGTATTTATATAGGGATGTATTAGGTATACATACACATTAGAAGTGCGCACGACTGCTGCCGCACACGTAGGCACGCACACATATACAGCTTAGAGCCCACCATGCCATGCGCAGCACCACGAGTTTATATCCAAAGGATTGCCGGCAAATTTCTAAGCCTATTACGCGCGTATGTATGTGCGCCTATATAGATTGTGCTTAGCTCTCTCTATTTCTCTATACGTACATAAGCTCTCTTGCTCGAGTGCGAGCTCGAGCGAGCAAAACATTTATCGGGTCTCGATGACTGTACAGCACGTGCGGTATACACAAGCCGATCGCTTCTATACAGCGTTAGTCTTAAAAAAATCTTTCGTAAAAAAATGACCACTCGCTCGTCGGCGGCGGAACGATCATTACGTTGTACAAATCGCGCGTGCAAAGCCTTCCTTATGTGCGTACCTCGCGCGCGCGCGCGCACGGATGATTTAACTCTCGCTTATAAAACGTTATCGCGTTGTACTGGAAAAAAGATTTTTTTACCTACGTACTACTCTCGTGAAAATGTTTTTTTCGAATTTCATCGACACGCTCGAGTGCGTAGACTATGCGAGCTGCTGCTGCTGCTCGCTTTAAGTACATATATATATACAACTTGCTCTCGTGTATACAAGCACTTACACAAGTACGCGTACGCACACGAACACACATAAACACACTTGCGCGCGCTACGTATGCGTCAAGGTCGCTCGATTCAATCATCCGCGTATAAAAGAGAGAAAAAGCGGAGTAGTATTTTCGAAGAAGTAGGAGCATAATATTATTATTTTACTTTATTGTGTATGGCGCACGTCGTTGGTAAATATCGCGTTCGTAAACAGTTGGAGACACACGTACCATTCGAGGAGGAATGATGATGACTGGAGCCGGTGGCCGAATGCACGGCGTTGGTGGCCGCTGTTGCGACCTGCTTGAGGGCCGTTAACACCATCATCTTGTGGGCGAAGCGGTGCAGAGGCGGCGGCGGCGGCGGCGGCAGCAACAGACACGCACTACACACTATATAGGGATTTCTCGCGCACAAATTTCGACACGACTAAAATTGCCCGGGTGATTCACTCACTGCTGCTGCGCGACACACTCATAACTAACTGTTGTACAGGCCACTTCGCTGCTGCTGCTGCTGCTTTGCGCGACACATCTGCACATTAAAGGAGTTGGGCGCGCGCGCTGCAGCGAAGCTACTTAAATATTATATATATACCGCTGCACTGCACACGATGGTACTGTATTGTGGCGAAAAAGAGTTTGCGAAATGAGCCGCGCAGACACACCGACGTACGTGTGCAGGTATATAGACTGCAGCGCACGATCGCACGCACATAAACAGATATATAATACACACAGCACACGGACACAGACGGGTATAGGTAGAAGCACGCACTCCTACGCGACCAAGCGTATAAGCAGCGAGCAGCCACTTTTTTTGACTTTCTCTTTTACTCTCTCGCGAGCGATCGCGATGCTCTCCGCGGCCGCTGCCCCTGCTACCTACTGCTCCTGCTGCTGCTTTTTAAGAGAGATACACACAGCTCACAGACGTTCGTGGCGTGTTCATATTATAAGTACGAGGAGAGAGAGAGAGAGAGAGAGAGAGAGAGAGAGAGAAAGAGATTCGTGCAATGCACTCACACACAGGGAGAGAGAGACGGTATATGTACGTAAGTCACGAGGGTCTTTATATTCAACCTTCTCTTGCGCGTATTTTTGTGCAGTTCTGCTGCTGCTGCAGCCTGTACACTGCAGTCTCTCTCTGCTTCTCTTTGTGCTTGTGCCTTCTTCTTAGTGCTGCTGTGCTGGCAGGCAGCGGCTCTGTGCAGTTGCAGTCGTTGCAGCAGCACGGCACGGCGAGGCGCGCGGCTGCTTACGGCCGACCTCGGGAGATGCGTGAAAGGTGCAGCGGCAGCGGCTCTCTCGCGGCTCAAAAGCAGCCGTAATGTATGAATATCTGTGTGTATGTACTGCTCTTGCGAATATACATGTGCACAATTCACCAGCGGAGAGCGAGCGAGAGAGATATTATAATATTGCACACAGCGCACGGCACACAGAAGTATATAGCAGCAGCGAGCGAGTGTGCACGAGCTCGTGCGCAGACTAATAATTATATGAGTGAGTGGTCCTCTTTGCCCGATGCAACGCAATGTACAACCGCCGCACACATCTCTGAGCTGCTTGTCGGTTATGCCTGCTTGCTGCTGCTGCTGCTGCTGCTGCTGCTGCGGGGCTGTCGGCCTGCCGTTGCCTCTCGCTCGCTCGCTCGACTCGCTGCACTCGCTTTAATACATATAGATGTGCTGTTCTGCTGCTATATAACGATCAAATTTCCGAGTAATATTCGGTCGCTCTCCGCAGTTTATGGAACTAGGTGAACATTTGCGCTTTTGACGGCTTTACACGGAGCTATACACAAGCAGCGGCAGCAGCACGTCGTTCAGCATCTACAATAGCACGTTTTATCTATAATAACAATATAAGTATATCTATAGGTATATGCTATTCTTGTTTTGTGCGCTATAGTCGCGTAGTAGTAGTAGACGGACGCGAAGCAATTCGTCGATTTTCACCGCTTTCTCCTCGGCAAAAAGTCCGCAATCTTTTTTCTGCGCGCACAAACACTGCTGCTGTTGCTGCTGCTGCACGTACACGC